GCCGCCCCTAGGCTTATGGCACAATGGGAGATGGGAGGGGTTAGTTTGGCTACAACGCCAACACTGACCCCACCCGCGACCCCCTCAGTACTCGCCGCAAACACCGAGCAGAGCTCCCCGCAGCCGTTTCCCCACCACTCCAGCCCCCTTTCCCGCCTCCACACGCACGCACATGGACGCCCGCTGTCCCGCACGGGTGGGCCGACACTGTCCCTGGTCAGACCACCGCCGCCGCCGCCGCCGCCGCCGCCGCACAACTGTCCCGCCTGTCCCACACAGGGACCGATCCGTAAGCTTCCTCCGCAAATGGAACAGCCCAGGGCCTTGAAATAGCCAACCCGACCCGCGACAGCCTTCCCCAGATTAATGATGCCTATTCCCAACCAGCCCCACAGAAAATACACAGCGGAAGACTTGAAAAAACAAAGAACGACCACCCAATCACTGTGAAAAATATCGGCGTAAATTTGCAAATTTTTGTAAACTAGAATTATAATTTAAGTTGTAAATTTACGGGAGCAGAGCTTTTACTCGCCAATGGATTTTAAGTCGACACGCACTCCATGTATTTTTACGATTTCAAATTTTACAACTTGCGTCAAGGAAAATTTTCCAACAAACCTACCCACTATTTTTCACAGTGCAACCTATTTACTAGCTCCTACCGTTACTTTCGTGGTTTAGAGAAGCGCAGCGCATATCGAGGTCTCGGTTCTGCCCGAGGTTCTGCCAACTGCAACGCGACTACAAATGCTAAATGCTTTACTTTGGCGGCGGCCGAGCCAAGCTGCATCCGTCTCTGCGCGGCGCTCCACTTGGCCGCCACCCTGATTAAAACCTCGCCCCTCCCCCTCCCTTTGCACACCCTTCACTTCAGCCCGAGCGCGTAGCTCAGGCGATCCTAATTACTTTGCAGAGAAACCGAGGGGTCCGCAAGTACGGTCTGCCGGTGTACACATGTGGTGGGCTTCCTAGTTTTCCTAGGTTTTCCTAAGGTTTTTCCGGTCTTCCTAACTTTTTCTTGGTCTTCCCAATATCTTGGTTTTCTGAGATTTTCTAAAGACTTCCTCCAGTTTTCTGCGGTTTTCTCGCACTTTCATCGGTCTTCCCTTACATTTTCTGGTCTTCCTTGAAATTTCTAGGTCTTTCCTAAAAAATTTCCGGTCTTCCCTTATATTTTTCGGTCTTCCGTCACATTTGTGGCCTACGATTTTCTTGGTCTTCTTCGGTTTTCTTTAGTCCTCCTGGTGGTCTTCCCGGTCTTCCCAGTTTTCCGGGCGGCCAGTGTACGCGCTCGAACCTAGTTGCGGACCCCTCGAGAGAAACACCCCCCCACCTCAATCTAAGAGGGAGGAGGAGCGGAGATCTTCTTTCGTCAAAGAGTACGTTTCGTTCGGTTCCGTTTCCCGATTAGGACGCCTCTCAGCAGCAGGCAGCATCGGCACCGCACCTTTTCGCCCGGTTCCCTCCCGGTTCTGGTTCTCTCCACGAGCAGCAGCCCCGTTCTTTCCGCCCACTCCTCAGCCGCCGCCCCGCTCCGCCCCTCCTCTGCTGATGACATGTGAGCCATGTCGCCACATCCTCTCGACTTGTTCGCCGCCCCCAAACCCCTTCCACCCCAACTCCCACACGCCGCCCGATAAAACACAGTCCCCGGGTCAGCCATCACTCCTGCCCCTCCTCGCCTTCCACACTTCTCTCCAGTCGCTGCTCTCCCTCCCCTTCTTCGCCCCCTCTCTCTCTCTCTAGCCCCCCCGCTCCCCGGTCGAGTTGGCGCTGACGCGGTGGGTTCGCTCGCCCGGCCGACCCTTCGACTCCGTTATGGGTCCACCTAGTTAGGGACTTGTGAACTTCCGTCCCACCGCATCTCCCCCCTCCCCTGACCTCCTCCCCCCCCACCCCCGTCTTTCCGCAGGGCTTGACGGGCGGCCGATTTTGCTTCCTCGGCTGCCTTCGGTGGTAGTCGCAAGATAAACGACCTCAAGAGCAGCGCTTCCGAACGGAGCAGAGTGAAAGACGCCCGCAGACAGATATACGGACATTCCATACGACGTCGAGTTGGGCCAGTTCAATGAGTTTCCACGGTGAATATGTTGATGAAAATCGCTGAACGCGGCATATACCGGGTGATTCAGAGAAGAACCAGGCGCGGGCGGGTTTGCCTACCCGCTATGCCCGTAAGGCGCCACGGCCCCTAACTGTAAGCGGTAGGCAAACCCGCCTGCACCTGCGTCTTTCTCTGAATCACCCGGTATATTCGTTGCATCGAGCTGACAGTGCTGACGGAAATCCGTGGGCCAAGGCGGAAGCGCGACGAAGCCAAAGTGGCTGTCATGTCAGCGGTAGGGCAAGACAAGGCGGGGCGGGGTAAGGTAGGGTGGGGTGGGGCGGCCGGGCTGAGCCGCGCGCCTGCAGCGTAGGCAGACCCGCCGCGCTCCGGCGCGTCCGGGCTGCCTACCTCCAGGGCGCTCCCCGCCAGCCCCGCCGGCCCCGGGGGGACAAGGCTGTGCAAGCAGCGCGGCCAAAATTACCTTCCCCGTACCCTCTTGGAAATGAGACGCTTTTGGCGTGCTTGACTTTCTGTCCGCGCGACCTCCTGCTGCTCCGGCAAGGCCACCGCCAAAAAACGAGGTTCTTAGACCAAGTAAATATCCTTGGAACAAGTCAATTTCCGAGAGCTGCTCTAGGAAATTGATTTGTTTCAAGTTTCAAGAGAATATTTACTTGATTCAAGGACCTTGTTTTTTGGGTGCACCGCTGCCGTCTCGGCCTCGGCAGGCCTCTCGCTCGGCCTCTCGTGACGACACGACGACACGACAGTTTCCAGCAGTGTCGTCAGAGGCAAGGCAGATGCAAGCGGATTGCGGAGGGCTTCAGTCACGGCTCGTAGGAGGAGGGCGAGGGAGAGAAGCGAGAAAGAGAGATAGAGAGAGAGAAGCGGGAGGGAGGGGGGATAAGGCAGAGAAGCATCGAGCCACCACCACCACCACCACCACCACCACCACCACCACCGCCGCCGCCGCCGCCATGCCATCCGCGCCCCAAACAACTCAGTGAATGGGGGTGCGGTGGGGCCACTCCACTCCACAAGCTCCACACGGTGCCACGCCCCGCCCCGCAACGCAGCACAAACAAAATTAGAGGATTCGCGAGTGTGTAGTTAACTAAGAGAGAGGGCGCGGCATCAGAGAGCACAGCGGCGTCTAGGCGACATCACCTCGTAGCGACCTGGGCTGGGCGGAACTGGATTTGGTCGTCTTCCCCGCATATCCGACGGGTGTAAGTAAGAGGGGAGAAGGGTGCATTTCCACCTCACCATTGCGGTGTCGTGCTGAAGGGTCCCGCCAGCACAGAGGTGCGGTGGGCGACCCTGGCAGGCGCCACACCCGGGGCGGGGCTGGGCTCTATGCCCGCGGGGCCTGGGCCTACCAGCGCCGCATGTGACCTTGACCTCCAGTGGAGGTGGTGGTGGTGGTGGTGGTGGAAGTGGTCGGGGGTGGAGGTCGAGGTGGGAGAGCAGGGCAGGTGGGCACACATCCTGCGCGTTACGACTCCCCCCGGTGACTTACGCCCTCCCGCGGTGGATTAGCGACCAATAAGGACCTGGGGAGGGCCTCTCTCTCTCCGGGGGGCTCCGAGTCCGAGCGGCGCAACTGATACGGGTAATCCACCCCCCTTCTCCTCGCCCGCTCACCTGGAGAAGTGATACGGGGGGAGTCAAAGCCAAAGCCGCGCTTCCTATAAGCCCCACGCGCTCTACCATGCCCCCCCCCCAACTCTACTCTCCCCGAATAGAAATTGAAAGCCAGCGGGCGGTGGTAGAGAAAGAGTCGCGAGGTGAAGAGCGCAGGCCGACTCTCCCCGGCCAGCAGCGTCTACCTTTTAGACGCTGCTAGTCAGGGAACGAAGAGAATAGAGCGGCGCGGGTGGGATAGAACGCACAAAAACGTGGAATACCCCCCCCCCCAGCTTTTCCCCTCCCTCCTCTCTTCCTGCCTTATCCCTAAAAAGAAAACGGACCGAAAACACACAAAAAGAAGTAAAAATAATAGAGGTGACCGAGCCATAGCCAGCCGACCAGGCCAGCCAGCTAGCAGCTCGGGCCGGGGGTGCGAAAACAATGAGTGGGCTGTTCATTGTGAACCTTTCAGGCGGGGTGGAGGCCAGGCTATAGCAGAGCTGAGGCTGCAGAAGACCTGCCCGTGCCCAGCGCTTCTGTCAAATCTTACAAACGCGCGCGCAAAATAAAACGCAAAAAAGTATAGTAACAATCGCAAAAAAAGAAACGTTTTGTACAATTGCGTTTTAAGTAAAAATTAAATTGCAAACGAAAAGAATTTTTTCTTAAAGCGCGATGGGGGATCGTCTAGGTGGTATGTCCGTTTTTCTCAGATTCATTCGACAAAGTCCGCGATCTCGGCGCCTGCGAAACTCGGG